CGTCTTCAAGCAACTTAAAGAAGTCCAGACGCTTTTCTTTGCAAGCTCCTTTGACTACGATGACCTGGATGACTGAGAACCTTCACAGACGTATTTAACTGAGAGCCATGCTAGGCTCAGAGAGACTCTGCTGACCTGCCCCGCGGTCATGCAGGGACTTCATCAAGCTTGTTTTTTTCTGTTCTTTGTGTTTGATTAAAGAATGTTAGCTACTGCTCACCGCTCGTCTGCAGGCTTTATTTAAACGGAAAACTTCCACAACAGACAACAGCCTGTCGGCTTACTTTATTAATAAAGACTCACGGCTGGAACTGCTTCAGCAGAGAGGAGGCGGGGCCTAATCCAGCTCAACACCGTCAGAGGTAACTATGGTGACGCATAGAAGCTCCAAGTTAAGAGTTTCATCAGAGCAGCTTAAATCAGACAGAAAATGAATGGAGTCTGGTTGGAACAGATTACCTTTCAGAGGTTTTTTATTCCTCTTCATTAAGAGTCAATCACCAATCAATAACCAGTCCGTACTGGCTTCTTCATGATCAGTAACTAAACTGATCAGCAGACAGGTGAACCGCTGCTCTGTGGTGTGATGTCACAGCTGTGAGCAACGACATCACTGTGACATCATCACCTGTTGTTGTTGTTGGGGTTCTGGATGAAGTTGATGGAGTAGGCGCCGCTGGCGGCGTCCTGGTTCACCTGGAAGTTGTTGGTGGAGAGTCCGAACGGCCGCAGGACCATGTTACCTAGGTCCTTCAGCTTACCTGTGGGTCAGAGGTCACAGAGATCACAGCTCCATTGTATGTCTAATGTATGGCTTTTATTGTGAAAGGACTCCTGGCCCTGAGCTATCAGGCTGCAGGCTTTTATTGTTTAAGTTGCATCTCTGTAATGTGAACAATCAGAGCCAACAGCTGATCAGAGTTCATGTCTGATCTGTGTGTGCCTTTAAAATCATGTGGATCGATCATGTGATTTCATTTCAGTCTTGTCACCGATTGGCTCCTCTCACCTGTCACAGGTGATGTTATGGCTGAAAAACACTGTCTCCACCTGAACAGGTACCAAGCTGCATGTCGCACCGACAGGTACGTACCAGACAATCATGGATGATTGATTAATGGTGTGTTCAGGTGCAATACGTACTAAGCATCTCCTCCTTCAGCTTCTCGTTCCTCTCCTGGATCTGTAGAGGCAGCCTCTGATAGAGACACACAGGTGGACACAGGGTGGGAGACACAGGTGGAGACACAGGTGGAGGGAGAGAGAGAGAGAGGTCAGCTGTGTAAGTCTGTTTTTCGTCCCTTTCACGCCTCCTTAGCGCTGACCCCTGACCTCAGAGGGGGCTGAACCTGAATAAGCACAGGAGGCCCTGGTAAACCCTACTGGTCGCTCTGCACGCCACTGTGACACCATCAGATTGGCACAGGAAGCTGCTGTAGTCGCCACGTTAGACGGAGGAGAAGAAGAAGTCAGAACTAGAAGCAAAGTTTGAAGATCTGAGACCCTGTCGAGTGTTTGTTTCAACGATTTTTCCACAGACTGCTGCAGCAGCTCTGACCGTGTAGGAAACGAGGAGGCGTTTCTCTTTTACTGGCTGAGGTGTTTTTGCAGGAGGTGGCGCAGAGCCATTGCAGGGGGGGTCGTGGTATGAATGAAAACAAAACAAAACAATGTTTGGACGCAGCGAGCATAATGAACATTGTTTTGATGGGGCTCCCACACAAACACAAAGCAGAGGATGAAGCATCACCAGATATGCTTCCAAACCAGCTTCCTTCCAGGCCAAAGACTAGAACATGTGATGAAGCATATCTTGCTTTAATACAGATTTTACTTGCTGTCAAATCTTGTTTATTTTGGGTTGTTTTGTTTTGTTTTCACCCATTGTTTTCTGTCTGTCACTGACAGTAAACTGTAATGAAGTTTGAAAACAAAATATGTGCGTGTGATAGGAGGATGTGTTTGTGCGGGGGGCCTAGCAAAAAAAGTTTGGGAACCACTGTTTTACTGAGTGAGGAAGCTCTGAGAGTTGTGAC